CTCTCTCTCTCTCTCTCTCTCTCTCTCTCTCTCTCTCTCTCTCTCTCTCTCTCTCTCTCTCTCTCTCTCTCTCAGTCTGGTACTAACCTGTGAAGTTGGCGCCTTGATGCAGGTACCTCGAAGATGAGGCTGGAGCTATGGCGCCACAGTTAAGTCTCCCTGGCGTCCGCCAGCCATCTCTCTCTCCAACACTACTCTACTCCTACCAGCGCCCAGCGCTGAAGACTACCACCACAGCTACTAGCTCCCAGCGCTGAAGACTACTGCTAGCGCTAAAGCTACTCCAGCAGCGCTCCTCCAGAGTGCCGCTGCCGAATCCTGAAGACTACTCCTGCCTTCTGCCTACCCGTGAAGTGCATGGGAACTCCCTATGTACTACCTCGGCCTGCCTCCTGACTGCCTCCGACTGCCTGCAGTTGCAGGGCGGGGCAGTCCAGGAGGCTGCTCTTGCCAATGGCAAAGTGAGCCAGGGTCTGGCGCTGCAGCTCGTGCTGAGGCTGTTGTGGGAACAGGCCAAAAATAGCCTGTTCCTAAAACCCTGGTTTGGTGAGGGCCCGAAAATGGCCATCCGTTTCAGGCTGAAAAGACTCAGGGCCTGGAAGGCCCTGTTTTAGGCTGAAACGAGATAGGGCCTGAAAGCCCTCGTTCTCAGGCTTTCAGGTTGAAACGACACAGGGCCTGTAAGCCCTTGTTTTCAGGCTTTTAGGCACGCTGGTCGGGCCCTGCAGGCCCGTGTGGCTGCGCAGTATGCCACATTGTGAGACTTCTCTTTTTGAGCATATTTTTCGAGCGCGTTTTTTGAGAATGAGGACTCTTTTCTTCGGAGTGAATTTGCGACTTGTCTGTCTTTGCATGATTTCTTAGCTGAACTACCCTGTTCCCCCGAACACCACGCAGTGGCAACCCGATCATGACTGTATCTCACCGTAAAGATGGCTTGTCTACATTGATGATCAGGTACCGTGTTCCCGTGAATACAATGCAGAGGCAACCCGATCATGACTGTATTGCACTGGAAAGATGGGTTGTCTACATTCATGATTAGGGTGCGTTGTGTTCGGGGGAAAGAGAGTAGCTACCTACCGGTAGTACTGTGCTGTATTGTGGGATGGCAAAGTGGAGTCTCTGCAACATAAGATCTTACATGTACTACGCCTTGAAAGCTCGAAAAGCCGTTTCAGAACTGAAGATCGTGCATGCACCTGTTGGCAACAACTTGAAAATTCGTTTTAAAGGATGTGTATCAAATTGCTGATCACCCGCTCAGCCACAGTCCGTCGTAGCGGCCATCCCTCCTTGTGTCCCTTCTTCTCCCTCTCTTTCCTACGCATCAGCACTCGTATAATCTCTCTCCGCCTCTCTCTCTCTCTCTCTCTCTCTCTCTCTCTCTCTCTCTCTCTCTCTCTCTCTCTCTC